ATAGAGAATTCTTCAAAATCAAGGTCAGAAGGTCAGGGTTATTAGTATCAAAAAAAGGTCTTGCCACAAAAAAAAATACATACAGTATGTGAAGTATGAAAGCCCTTGCCCAAACCGTTAAAAAGTTATGGCCAAGGTTAAAAAGATTTTAAAAGTAGGTCAAACTCCAAGATCAAGGTCAGAAGATCAAGGTTTTTAGTATTCAATGAAAGGTCTTGTCACAAGGATTACATAGGTGAAGTATGAAAGCCCTAGTCCTTTACCGTTCAAAAGTTATTGCCAGGGTTAATGCTTTTTATAAGTCAAGGAAATCTCTGAAAGGACAGAAAAAGCAGAGACCTAAACAATCAGCAAAACATACAAAAACAACAAAATGGAGTTCCATCTAAGTTCAAAACCTCGTTTTCAGGGGGCATAAAAATAGAATGCATTGAAAAATAAAACCTTTGCAGGAATTATCCGCGACAGAAAAAGCAGAGACCTAAACAATCAGCAAAACATACAAAAAAAAACCAAAATGGAGTTCCATCTAAGTTCTCGGGGGGGGGGGGGGTTGAGTGGAGGGAGGTTTTCAAATTCCAGTATAAGCAAATCTAAAGAGTTACTAATTTTTTGCGCTTACAGTGTCATACAAACTGAGAGAAAAAAGCAACAAATGTAGCAGCTTAAGCAGTTTGCAACAAACATAAAAAAATATATACATTTAATTAATTTATTTATGATACTGAAAATGTATGCAGACATCCCTGGTAAATATGACCAAATAAATGTATGCGTGCAGAAATTATTCACCCAAATGTCAATCATGTAGGTTATCTTCAATACCTTGACCTTGTTAACCTCATTTGGAAGTGTGCTGAAAGAAATTTATTGTTATCAAATGATTTTTAACAAGGCTTTTACAATTCTTTACTAGATTTGTCTCTGTACATCCATAAACTTGCACGCTTTCTATCTCCTGTTTCTTTGACCTTATAATTAAATTTAACTTAATTCGATTCCTGCTTAACAATGTCTCTAGATGATTCTGAAGGGAAAACATCAATGATATATAAAACGCCTGGAGGAGAGTAAAACTGGACCTATTGTCAAAGAACTCAAGGGCGAAAATGGGAAGGTCACATCCTAAGTGACACTGACCTTCTAAATCCTAAGTACAAGGGATTTAGGGGAAAACCAATGACAACAAGGCGTGGGACACATAAGATCATTTAAGGGACAGCAATTTTAGAGAACGTGTCCTATAAGGTGTGATCTTCGCCGCCAGTCGTTAAGAAATCATGAACTCTAGAGCCAGAGACTACCAAAATCGAAGTTGAAGGTTGCTGGAATATATGAGGAATTTTTTTAACTAAAAACAAATACAAATTGTTTTAAAAAATGGTTTCATTTTTCTTTTGTTAGAAATGCCGATATATGGCTGTTATATAGCCGACTTTGTGTGTATTTCTATTCATGAATCATAATATATATCTGCATACAATTCTGGAAACCGTTTGGAAATAAAGAGTTTTGCAAAATTGTTTAATTTTTTACATAGATTCTTAAAGTCATCATAATTGCACTATATGACGTTCTTTACTTGTTTCGTCTTAAACTAGGTCGGACATATCATCTCAAAATTTGTACTGAAGGTAATTAGTAGATACGGCATGCTATTCACTGATATACCGGATTCTTTCTTACAGCCAATATAAATGTACAATTTCAATTATTGAGACTTCAAAATCCTAATCTTACTTTTTGAATAAGAACGCAGAAACCGCCATTAAAAAAAGTAAACTATAAAATGATATAATGAGATACCGTTATATTTTCAGTCGTATTTATCTTCTATTTAATCAAAGAATATTTTTGATGGTTTTAAAAAGTTCGTCATATTTTATAAAATTTGAAAAAATTTGGCATCCTTACATGTAATGAATTTTATTGATTTTCCCAACGATGCGTTCATTAATGTGAACAAACTATTTTGAATGAAAGTTGTATTTTTAACATAGCAATCAGTGACTTTGGTGACATTTTAGAAAAACTATATACACATAATTATAATGGAATCAATGTTGTATAGATTGATTACAATAAATGGTTACATGAAGCATAATGTAATTTATGGTTAATTTTTTACTCATTTTCATCAAAGAAAAATGCAGGAAATGTTGTGCGGTTTCCAAAAACGAAAGTACATTTAGAATTGGAAATAAAAGACACCAAGGAGTATACAATGTATGCATGACACTACATTACATTTTATATCATATGGAGTAAGGGATCAATGGCAATCCAAAAAAAAATATCTTTTTTTTGATTAGCCTAATGACTTCAAATTGTCTACCGTCAACTTCACTTAATTTATGTAGAAATACTTTGTATACCAATAATATGTGCATATGAAGTTTATGTCTCATAGCTAATTCAGTACGCACATTTTTGAAAAGAAACAAGCTTCTGACAAACAAGTTAATGAATTCAGGTAAGATTCTTCTCTGGTTTCTGACTAGATGATAATTTTCAAAGTATATTTGCTCAATTAATGTTTTATATATTTAGATTTAAGAGATTTAAAAGACCACATTTTTTTCTCCTCATCACAATTGTACAACTTTATACCAGAAATGGTAAAGTGTGTTTGAAAACTAGCAGGGACTATATTTTTAGCGGAATAGTGGTGTATGAAATTTTTTCGGCCTCTCAAAATTATTATAGAACAAAGAATTTAGTTATAATTTTTTTTTACACATTTGATGCAAAAATTAGAACACTGGTAAAATTGTGATAGTTTGTAGTTAAAAACTTAAAATGATGCTTGCTTTAAAACCAGCACTAACTTGGATTCAAAGCTTACATGGAAGGCACTAGAGGGTGCAAAAGGAGGACATTTTCCCGAATTTCCTGAATTCTGGTGGAATGTCATCATATTTGAGATACTTTTCTCTTCAGAAAACATAGAGCGCAAGCTTGCCTATCTGAGATATTTACACATAAACTGCATCTGATACTAGTGCATAAAATATATAAATTGTATCTAAGATAGATAGGCAAGCTTGTGCTCTATGTTTTCCGAAACAAAATGTGCTGTTAAATAGATGAAAATTTGCAGAAAAATGAGAAAATTGGAAAATTGGCCTATTTTCTGATCTCTCTGTGCCTTATGTGTATTCCAAAACTTAAAACAAATACTCATTTTGTGGCAAGGATGACAACAGGTTTTATTGACAAACTGTTGAATCATTCTAAAGAACTCCCAAAATCGGGGGCCAAATATGGGTCTTACCCTATTTTGTCCTTTCAAATGCAATTTAAATTAATAATAAGGGACTAAAGTTTCAAAATATATTTAAAAAATATGATTTTTCAAATAAACTAGAACTATGTTAGCTTTTAAAAGCTTCTAATCTAAGAATAGATTTGAGCAGAAAATTCGTTAAAAATGTTTTTTCTCTCTTAGTTAACGGTCAAAAATGTTTATGTATCATTTTCTATCTTTATGAAACAACTTAACCATATGTGAAAATAAGAAAAATTTAGACATAGGAAGCATATAAAAATAAATAATATATCCTAAAAAAATAAGAAAAGCAGAGAAAATTCGGATTGATGATTGGCAACAGTAATTTTTAGTTTTAATGTCCAGGGAAAATGTAATGACCTTGACCTGATCTTATCTCTAATATAAAACTCTCAAATTTAATTTTACTGATACCATCACTTAGTGATATTGTCTTCTTGATTCTATGAACATTTCATTAATTTTTGAATACAACAAATACATACTGTTTGAGAAGAATCCTACCTTCAGGGTATGTCTACAAACTTGTTTGATACTTGGAATTACCTGTACGGATGTGACATCATACATTGTATACATAGATTGTTTACGATTTATTGCATTTGGACGATACAATTTGGTTCCACCAGAATAAAGTATACATGTATGCATTTGATGATCTTTGTTTCCTTTGTCACAATGGGCCTCGATACCTGTAACCATGCAGACAAAAATCCTTTTGTCTCAGTAAATTCGACAAACCTCGTTCAATGCGGGTTTGAATTTATTATGAACATTAATTTGTGCACACGTAAGAGAGAAATTGAGATTGATTCTTTCTTGAAAGTTACCGCAATCACTGGTTCCTATGCTTAAAAAGTGTGTTCGGATTATTAAACACATCGGCAGACAATTTAATAAAATTCATAACATGTGCATGTGAGGGTGTCAATAAACACCCAATTTAATACCCACCCTGACATGACATGCTTTAAACAGCAAGAATGTCATTTGATTAAACGGAGGAGAGATATGGCTAAAAGTAAAGCGGAATCTTACTATTATAGTGATTTACCACCATTATAGCTGAATTTACATTTAACCCAACCTGCTTATTTAAAACATGTTTATATAAATTAAGATATATTATTTTGATATTGAAATATTATTTTGATATTGAAATATTCTAGATTTCTTGGTACATATTTAATATGTTTATGTATGATTAATGCTATATATGTACACAAGAATTCATAAATTGATATTGTTTTTTTATGATCTTTTTTTAATTTCTCTGCTTTTTTAATTTTAATTAAAGAATTAAGATTTAAAATATTTAGACATAGCAAATCTACTGGAAAGAAAATGGCAAGGAAAAATACCTGTGTATGCAAGTCAAAATGAAATAAACTATGGATAACGTTTTTTTGTCAATATCAGACATTGCATTTAAAAAAAAAATAGTACCTTCAGTAGGGTGATTTAAAATTACTGCTATTATGTTCAGTGAGGTCTTGACGGTGCACATTATAATGTCTGAAGTTACACAGATTTTCTAATCAAAAGACATGTCAAACCAAACAGGATTTAGCTTTCACATATTTTCCAAAAGGCATTTATGAACATATTCTAATGATGCCAACATCTATTCAAGAATTCAAACTCCATATCAAATTACGACATTTTAAAGGTTTTATTCCTCACTGACAACAAGTCTAAACAAAATAATAATAATAATATATTGCCAAGTAGATATTTTTGCGCAGATATTCTCCAGCCATAACAAAAATATCTTATGGATACTAAAGTCGTCGGACTTAAAGGTGTTATAAAGGTTTCAGGGTTACAATGAAGTTGCTTTCCATTTCAAATTTTCTGACATTAACATTTACTATCTACAATATAAAAACTCAAGTTTTGTATCCTACCGAAAATTTCATCAAAGATAGTGTTTACAGTCAGATTTGGGCGATAGAGGAAGGACTGACTGCCACACTAGAAAGACTTAAGGAAAAAGAGAATGAATTTCAGGAGAAGGAGGATACATGTATTATTAAGGAAAAAGAGACAGAAATTAATACGTTAAAAGAAGAAAATGTTAAGCTGAAGGAAGTGAATGATAACTCATACGGTATGATACTTCATATTATCATTTTTGTGTTAATTTGAAAAAAAAAAAAAACGGATTATATATAAAAAAAAAGCGTAAATTGCTCCAACCCAGGTTACATGTATACCAGTATAACATGAGTTGCTATACAATTCATTCCTTATAATTTAACTTTTATTATGCGCCCGCATCGATAGATCCAGGGCGTATATTGTTTTTGTCCTGTCTGTCTGTCTTTTTGTTTGTTTATTTGTCTCGAACTATAACCTTCACCATAACTTTTGAACCATGAAAGATAGACTTCATATTTGGTATGCATACTCCACTAATTAAGCTCTTTCAAATGACACCAAGGTCAATGACCTTGTGACCTTAACTGTGGCCTATATGCTAAAAATAGCTTTTTTCTGCAAACTTTAACCTTCGCCATAACTTTTGAACCATGAAAGATAGAGACTTCATATTTGGTATGCATACTCCACTAATCAGGTTCTTTCAAATGACACCAAGGTCAATGACCTTGTGACCTTGACTGTGACCTTAATGCTAAAAATAGCTTTTTCCGAACTTTGTTGCCGCCGGGCGCATAGTGTTTCACAAACACATCTTGTTAATCAATAAGCTAATTAAGTATAGAAAACAAAACAAGTTCTCCCTCAAAAACGCCTTCACATTGTTTATATTCTTAACATAACGTCAAACGGATTGATACGTTTCAATAAAAATTAAATATGAGAAATATTTTATATTTTTCATTTAACAGAATATTTCTTGAATGAGATCTGTAACCGTCAACCTCAACTGGCCTTGGCTCATCGGTATGAATGTCAACTTTATTATAATTGTTCAGCCAGGACCTCTTTGGGAGCTTGGGAGCCCCTCTCCCATTTGTTTGAGTGCACATATCCTTACGTCTTTTCCGTTACAACACACCAATGTAAAAACTACACGGAAGTAGATTGTGGGAATAGATCTCTTCCTGTTTGGGAATGTAAGTATTATGTAAAAGCTTTCATAACAATCAATATATCGAAAGACATAGGTTTAAATAATGATCTGTACTTGACAGATATCTCAAAATATGTGTATGAATGTAAATAAAATGAATAAAAAAGGAATTGATAAAATAAGTCATGCATTGGTTTAGTGAATGAATGAATTGAAGAAATGAAACATATCTGAAGAAATGAGCAAAGAATATAGCATGGTACACATATACATGACTACATGTATATTATATATAACGTAAAATATTATCAATAAATAAAGCACTATTTCACACGAACATTAAATTCCATTGTGTGAAATTTACATTTAGTTGTAAAGTTTAAGAAATCGACTCATTTTAATAATTTAAAAAAAATTATCAATCAAAGACGGTTGAGAATGCAAAATATTTACCTTTATTCAAAGGCCAATACCGCAGGAACAAATGTAAGTACGGAGGTCGTTGTGTCCCGTGTGAGCACCTGTACCCACCATGCATCGGTAAAGCAGACGGCCTGTGGCCATGGGTGGCGAAATATCCATCACCCTATTACACGATTTGTAAAGATGAAAGATCAATCTCCACTGGTAATTGCGAGACAGATTCTGAATGGAACTCGGAAGCGTTTCCTTACAATGGCACCTGCACTTCACGTTTCAACATACCTACGTCATACGGAGGACTTTTACCTTCATGTGCCGGGAAGTCTGATGGAAGCTACAAATTTTCTGAAAGATGTGATGCATATTATGCATGTAATAATGGAGTAGCCAGAGCTGTCAAATGTAGCTCAGGGTTTAATTTTGATGCTAATTCCGGTTCTTGTCAGTATATGGCAAACTGTACATAATACATAATATATCCATTATATACAAAATGTGTCGTTTCAAACTTTGATCCACCTAATAGTATTTTTTTAGTATTTGTTTGACATGTTTGAATAAATCGAGGTTAAATAAATATGCATATTTAACTACACTGGACAATTTATTCAAATATTGTTTTTCTACTTTCTCTGTCGAAATAAAATTCATGCCAGACGGATTTTATTTACCTGGGTAGTATCATTAAACCAGAGGGTGGCATAAAGGAGGACATCTACCTGGCAATCAGATTTTGGAACGCAGTTCGCAATTTGCAATTCAAAAGTGAACTGCATTCTAGAACGCAGTTTGCAATTCAAAAATTTAACTTAAGTTATAGGGTCTGAAATTTTGTGGCTGGGGTACTGGGGATCACTTACCACTTCTATGAAAAAGTGGTGATGGTACCATCTTTAGTTTCCGAGATATGGCCGTCCAGTTTTTAGCCCTACTATACAAATAGACATATATCTTTCTCTCTTCTTTTATGATCGTCATTTTCACATTCTTTTTCCTTTTACCTACCCAGGGTCCCGGTAGAAAAAGTCTGTAGTTGTTGGTTTCATCAGCAACAGAGAACTGGTTGTATATATACTATGCGAATAAACATCGGCTCGGGGACATCTAAGTCCCCTACCCCAGGGTCTGAAATTTTGTGGGTGGGGTACTTGGCTCCAGAATGGGAGAGGATCGTAAATTTTGGTCGAGGTTTGCGACGATGGTATTTTAATCGGGTTTGAGGTGTTTATTTTCATTGAAGAAAGTGAAAGTAGAAACCAAAATATTTTGCATGCTTTTTCTGCGGTGTCGATGTTTCATGCAGTATAGTTCTTGTACACGATTTATTTCTTTACGCTTATATAGGATAAATAACTGTGGGAAAAATTCCATCTCTCAACTTTTAAGTGCTATGGCAACAAATGACACTGCACCAAAGGCATCAGGTGTTAGGGCCTATTCCGCAAAGTTTGAGAAAGAAGAGGTTTAGTGCATTTTCTCTTTTCTGTAAAGAATTTTCATTTATAGTTATTCTTTTACACAACTTTGTAACTTTTTACTTTTTTATCTAAATAGCTGTCTCTTAAAACTACATGTACAATTCGTGTATCATACAGTCATATACAGCTGATATATGGCGTATCTGAGCTGAAAAATAAAGATACATGACGTACTGCGTCTGTACGAAATTGAGTGTAAAAGAACATTTTATTTGTTATTTACTTTCAAATGAAAACTTTGATCGATTTCATCCAATATCTATGAAACACGGTTGATTTTTAATTTGTGTAATTCTAGGAAAGCCCTATCTTCATATAAAGTATAATAAAGTAAATAGAAAGATCTTTTTTTTTTATTTTAATTAGTCTGAACTTATAAAAAAAACGCTATACATTTATTTAACTTAGTCTTTAACAACTGTACATGTGCATAAGAAAAAGTATCTGTACTTTGTCCATTACTTAAACTATTATTTCATTCGTTTTACAGGAGATTGCAAGAGGAAAATGGTTATCATTAAATAATATTACATACAGAGATCCAACTGGTAAAGAAAGGTACAGTGTATCGTATTCCAAATAATTCTTAAGTCTATGTTAAATATGCAACAACCAAAATAAAATTGATTAATCCTTTTTTCAAATCATTGGCAAACTTAAGATTGAACTGCAAGTTCTATTTAATTATCCAAGATGAAGATATTGAGATGTTTTATAAAAATTCTATCCATTTCAGAGATAACCTGTAAATTCATTATTTATACAGGCTCTGGGAGAGTGTCAAAAGAACAACTCGCCATTCAGGATCTGCAGATGGTATTGTGAGATTTTTAGAAAGGCATAAATAATATAGTTTTCATCTTTTATTTTAACATTCATTTTATATTAGATATAAGGTTCAAATATTTGAAGGATCTTTGTGTGATTTTATGATGACAAGTATGGACTTAATTGTTAAAAAACTAATTAGTTTTAGGATATTATATTTATATTATTTTAAATGTTATACATAATATAATTGTATCTTACTTTTTACAAGTTTAAATTTTCATTTGTATTGTCAACAGCTGTTGGTGTGATAGCAATCTTGAAGCGGATGTTGAAGTTTGATTGCATCGTTTTGGTAGTTCAGTACCGCCCTCCCATGCAATGCTGCACTGTGGAATTCCCAGCAGGTAATTTACAATAAATCAAATTATACCTGTAACACTTTGACGTGAGTATAGTGATGTCATTTTCTTAAACATAACTTTCATGTACATGAAGCTGGCTGTAAATGCTGCATTACCTGAAGGACTTAATGGTTAATGTGAGTATATACCTGTACAGTTAATTCTCGATAAACCGCCACCTTTTGTAATTTAGAAATCATGGCGGTATAACGAATTTGGCGATGAATCGAATTTCACATCTTTTAGAAAAAAGAAGTAGAGTTACCGTTCTTAGAAATACTATTTAGCGTTTCTATTCTTATCATTACATGTACATGTATAAAAAAACATATTTCTGATTGAAAATACTTCAAGTAATTTTTTTTAATGTACAATTTCGCTAACACAATGTGCATTTATGAAATAAAGACAAGTACATGTGTATGCATGTAAATCTGCACGTCTGATATTGAAAAAAAAACATGCTGGGTTGTTCATCGTGATATAATGCCGATAGTACGTAAAACAAATTCTTGAATAAATTCATTATTTACGGTATCGTTGTTAATGAAACGTTCACAATTTATACCGTATATAATTATTTTTTCAGCAAACTTTGCATTGTTTAAAGCAGAGATCATCAAAATAATATTGTTATCGGCGTACTTTAACAACGACCGCTTTCGTGGCGAAGCCGTGACGAAATGATTTATATTAAACAGAAATCAAAATTATTATAACAGTTCATGTTGAAATTATTGTTTATTTAATTCTTGTTTAATTACTTAATTACATGTACCTTGTCTGCATCAACCAATTAGCCACACTTCACTGACCACATGCACCTGTGGCGGTATATCGAAATAATTTACACTTAAAAATGGACGTTTGTTGTGAAAACAGGGTGGCGGATGGCGGTATGCGAATTTGGCGTTATAAAGAGAATTTTATATAGCAGGAAAAACGTTCTTGGGTAATCATGGCGATATTGCGAAAATGGCGATGAATCGAATGGCGATAATTCGAGAATTGACTGTATATTTAATATATTTTAAAATTCCTGTAAAACATAACCTTTAGGGTCTTGTAGTCCAACTCACATTTGATACATGTTGTTTCTGATAGCTCAGTTAGTAAAAGAGCTGCACTGTCTGCAGGAAACTCCTTGACTTGTGTCCACTCATTTGTTAAGGTCATCTTATGTTATACAGGACTGGTAGATGAGGGAGAGTCCCCTGAAGTAGCAGCACTGAGAGAATTGTATGAGGAAACTGGATACACAGCCTCTGTAAAACATGTAGCCCCAGGTATATATGGTTTATCACAATGTAATGGATTGGACTGCGGAGATCAGTCTGGATAGCTCAGTTGGTAATGTGCCTGACTTGAGATGCAGGGGTCCCGGGTTTGATTCCCGGTCCAGTCATGCATTTCTCCTTTCCTGTTGTGATGGCACCAAATCTGCAACAGGAAAGGAGAAAATGCATGGCTGGCCAAGGAATCGAACCCAGCACCCCTGCATTTCCAGTCAGGCAGTGCTCCAAGTTGCGACTAAAACGGTCGCATTTGCGACCAAAAAATTGGCTTTGCGACTAGAAATTAAAACTAAGTCGCATTTTCGCGACTGAGAAAATTTGGGCTGGCAACGTCCATCTTTGTATGATCGGGATCGAGATTTACGTTTTCAAGATTCTCTGTCAAGACAATGTTTGAAGATATACACTTTAACACACTTTACAAAGCGTCGTATGGAATTGGATCATGTAATGTTATGACAGCATTCTGTAATAGTAAAGTTTGATAGAACCAGAAACATATATACATAACGTCTCTGAGAGAATGGCATCCAAATGTCGTGAACTTTTTAGAGTTTCTCTGACCTGGTTTTTAGCTCACCTGAGCCGAAGGCTCAAGTGAGCTTTTCTGATCAAAATTTGTCCGTCGTCTGTCGTCGTCGTTGTTGTTGTCGTTGTTGTCGTAAACTTTTCACATTTTCATCTTCTTCTCGAGAACCACAGGGCCGATTTCAACCAAACTTGGCACAAAGTATCCTTGGGTGAAGGGGATTCAAGTTTGTTCAAATGAAGGGCCACGCCCTTTTCCAAGGGGAGATAATCATAAATTTGTTAAAAATTATTGGCATTTTTAAAAAATCTTCTTCTCCTGAACCACTGGGCCAGGAAAGATGAAACTCATGTGGAAGCATCCTCAGGTAGTGTATATTCAGGTTTGTTCAAATCATGACCCCCGGGGCAAGGGTGGGGCCAAAATGGCCGACCCTAGTTTTACATAGGAATATATAGGAAAAAATTTAGAAATCTTCTTCTCAAGAACCACTAGGACAGGAAAGATGAAACTCACTTGGAATCATCCTCAGGTAGTGTAGATTCAGGTTTGTTCAAATCATGACCCCTGGGGCAAGGGTGGGGCCAAAATGGCCGACCCAAGTTTTACATAGGAATATATAAGAAAAAATTTTAGAAATCTTCTTCTCAAGAACCACTAGGACAGGAAAGATGAAACTCACTTGGAATCATCCTCAGGTAGTGTAGATTCAGGTTTGTTCAAATCATGACCCCTGGGGCAATGGTGGGGCCAAAATGGCTGACCCAAGTTTTACATAGGAATATATAAGAAAAATCTTTAAAAATCTTCTTCTCCAGAACCACTGGGCCAGGAAAGATGAAACTCATGTGCAATCATCCTCAGGTAGTGTAGATGCAAGTTTGGTCAAATCATGACCCCCGGGTTAAAGGTGGGGCCAAAATGGCCAACCCAAGTTTTACATAGGAATATATAGGAAAAATTTTAAAAATCTTCTTCTCCAGAACCACTGGGCCAGGAAAGATGAAACTCATGTGGAATCATCCTCAGGTAGTGTAGATTCAAGTTTGTTCAAATCATGACCCCCGGGGCAAAGGTGGGGCCAAAATGGCCAACCCAAGTTTTACATAGGAATATATAGGAAAAATCTTTAAAAATCTTCTTCTCCAGAATAGTATTGTTCAACCAGACCTCCGTAAATCTCCGACCAGCAGAGAGTCTGTTAAAGAATCACGTTAGGGTTTGTAACCGTCAGAGGGCGCTATCTTGTTTTCATTTTGACGATCCTTTTTGAAAACAAATGTTATATGTGTTTCTTATTGTGGATTGTGACTTAATATTAATAAACTAATCTTTAATTTGGGACAACAAACAAGAAATTACAATAGCAATCGAAGGAATGTGTATTACACAGGTAGGGCTACACTACTTTCACTTTTGATTTCGTACAGTATATTTGCAAGACATAATAAAACACACTTACCTATAACTGGTGGGCATTACCGTAAACAATTCCTATCTAACAGCTTTAACTTTAAGACATATAATTTTTACATCTTTAAGTTATTTTTCTGCCGATTTATCATGTATTTATTTAAATCGTGTAGGTGTGTTCTTTTCAGCCAATCAAAAACTTTACCAGAATTTCGGTAAGCCTCGTTTTGGCGTTACAAACGATATTACGTATCTTTACCAGACCCTCTGGGTGGTCGGAGATTTACGGAGACAGCCAAGGGTCTGGTTGAACGAGACTACTCCAGAACCGCTGGGCCAGGAAAGATGAAACTCATGTGGAATCATCCTCAGGTAGTGTAGATTCAAGTTTTTGCAAATCATGACCCCTGGGGCAAGGATGGGGCCAAAATGGCCGGACCAAGTTTTACATGGTAATATATAGGAAAAATCTTTAAAAATCCTTCTGAAGATCCACAGGGCCAGGAAAGATGAAACTCATGTGGAATCATCCTCAGGTAGTGTAGATTCAAGTTTATGCAAATCATGACCCCCGGGGCAAGGGTGGGGCCAAAATGGCCGACCCAAGTTTTACATAGTAATATATAGGAAATATCTTTAAAAATCCTTCTGAAGATCCACAGGGCCAGGAAAGATGAAACTCATGTGGAATCATCCTCAGGTAGTGTAGATTCAAGTTTGTTCAAATCATGACCCCCGTGGCTACGGTGGGGCCAAAATGGCCGACCCAAGTTTTACATAAGGATATATAGGGAAACCTTTTAAAATCTTCTTTTCAAGTACTTCAAAGCTATGATTAGTGATATTTATATGGAATCATCCTCAGGTAGTGTAGATTCTAGTTTGTTCAAATGATGAACGCCTGGAGGAGGGAAGTAAATTCAAGCCCGATCTGCTCAGGTGAGGGCTGTGGCCCCTGGGCCTCTTGTTAAAGTATTTGGTCAATGGCTTGCATATCACAATTAATTAAGTGTTTTGGCGGCATTGCTAACGACTGCGCTATGGCTGTATGGGTAAGATACTTAGTAGTAAGTAAACAGGTAAACATGATAAACAATTGGCAAAGTCCTGTCTCAACAACTGTCAAAGTTTTATTTTCTTTTGATTAAACTTTAATTCTAGGATCAGATTACGTGTGTTCTTCTGTGTACCATACAAAGGGTGGTTGTATTTAATAAAAATATCCTTCAAATAGCAAAAGATTTCTAGTCACAGTAATCAATAATCTTTGATTTAATAAAAACATAACACATGTGGATGTTAGTTCATTGTTTTAATTGTGTTATTCACATGTTTTCATCATAGCGAGTGAAAAATTTGTTAATGGCGACCAGAAATTCTAAAATGGTGACCAAAAAAACTTTTAGGTCGCCATTTAGCGACCTAAAAGTAAGTGCGACTTGGAGCACTGTCAGGCACTCTACCAACTGAGCTATCTAGGCCGATATCCATGGCCCAAACCATGACAATAGACACGTACTAATTTAACATTTAAAAGTACTAGACTAGTCAGCATTGACAAATATCTTCATTCCAGTTTAATTTCTCAATTTATAAATGTACAGTAAATATATTTGGGGACAATTTAAGTTAGTTTTTTCAAAAGAAAACAAGTCACTGGACTTATCTTTGAGACAAGTGCTTTAGATTTAAATGTAATATATGGTATAATTACATTTTTTTTAATTCTATGTAATTAGGAGGAAAACCATAATTGTATAAATGTATGATATTTATCATGTTTATAGAGATTTTAGAATTCTGTTCATTATTTCTTTAGATGTTTTAGAATAGAAGAAGAATGAATGTTTGCTCTTTGTTACAGCATCCTGCCTTGATCCAGGTATAGGGAATACAACAGTTCAGCTTGTGACTGTAGAGGTAGGGAAAACACTTTGTCTGTATGTATCTATCATTCCTCCCCCAATCCACCCATCTCAAACACACAAACTTCTCCACGATTTATTCTTCATGGAAGAAAATTAAGAATGACTATTCTACAAAACATGAAAAAATGAGACTTAATTAAATGATATTTAGTGCTCACACCTAAGTCAGAGAAAGAAGTCAAACAATTCTTCTTGTTAATTTAAGTGTAAAATATTGCATAATTGTATTTTAACATTGTTTACTTTGACTAACATAGTGGGATTTCACATTAACTGCTCCTAACACAATAAACCACCACTGCAAAAGTTAATGCAAGATACATAACTCTTATCTTGCTGAAAGTACATTATATAATACAGTACTGTACTGTGCGGAATATGTATTCTGAGAGATGAGCAATCTTAATTTGGAAAAGAAATTAAATTTTGAAATAATTTTCATCCCTCTGTCTACCAAATGAATTGAAAAAATAACACAAGAAAGCTATTTTTGAAGATTTTTTTTTCTATGAAATAAATTTAAAAATATAGTAAATTTTGTTGGGGTTGAGAATTGCAATCACAATTTTTAGCTAAAAAGGATGTGTTAGCCTATATTACATGTAGCATATTGTATTGACAATTTACTTTTAAAAACTGTGGGGTTTTTTCACAGATTGATGGCAATGACGAGAAAAATGTCAATCCAAAACAGAAAACAGGTTAGCTCCTTCTTGTTGTCTCTATTATTTAATACCTGTCTAAACATAAAATCTCTCTCTTTCATTTTTATGTGCAGATCAATCAAGCAATTTTCACTTTCTCCCTCTTAAACAAAGTCATTCTTTTAAAATAAATGATAAAAATTCTATGTAATTATAATTAGCAAACGTCATTATGAAAATAACAAATTGACTATGGTATTTGTTTTTTTTTTTCATGAAATCCACTAATAAAAGATGAATCAGGTCAGTGTTGTTCTTGATAAAATTGAACGATTTAAAATTTTTAAGAAATATTTTTTAAGCATTAACTGATTCTGAAAATTATTATAGATAATGATTCTTTATCACTTTTGGCAATTCTTTCAAAACCATTTGTTTCATAAAAAAACAACTTCTGCATGATTATCTGTTACCAAAATATATGTACTATATATTTTAATAATCTTTGTTATTTGTACTTTGAAAAACAATAAAGTTGATTTTAAAGCAAAATATTAGTATCACGTGGACTCTTGAATTTACATTCTTAATGTAGAGTTTATAGAAGTTGTTTTGATACCACTCGAGGACCTTTTGGAAAGACTTGATGGTAAGTAGCCTGAATATTATTGAAATAAAATTCATCACTTTACTGTTAATGTGTTGGTTAATTAATTTTTTCTTCTCTCAGAATATTCCCGGACTGGACACAGTGTTGATTCACGAGTTTATTCATATGCATTAGGCCTACAGCCTAGGATATCGTAACGCTTTGTATTTTTTTTTTATATAAGATAAAATAAATTATGTCATTTGTAAAGTGACTTCAGTGTGATATATGTACAGAACTGAAGATAGATGATCATTATTGTTAATGAACAATTAACTTTTGATAATTCTTTCAATCATTTTTTTTTAACATTACTACATTAAAACTGTTACTGGGGAATCTAGTCTACACTGGCCATCAGAGAATAAGTCTAAAGAAAGTCTTTGCATTTTCATTTGACACATAAAAAAATTGAGAACGATTTTTAAATTCATTTCTAAAATTGATTTATGTACTATTTAGAAGGTATGGAAATTATCCATGTATATGTCGAAAAAATGGAAAAACGTTGTATAAATGTTAATACAATGTACATTATATAAAAATAAAGAAAATGCAGATGATGTCAATAACTATAGACCAATATCAGTAACATCTGTTGTTTGCAAATTATTAGAAAAAATTATTGTCAAGCATCTGCACAACTATATACTTGAGAATGATATACTATATAAGTTCCAGTCTGCTTTTCAAACTGGTGACTCAACAAGTAATCAGTTGGTGGAAATTTATAATACTATTATATCCAATCTTGATAAAGGCCGGGATGTACGGTTTGTGTTTTGTGATATTTCTAAAGCTTTTGATAGGGTCTGGCATGAAGGAATTATATTTAAACTAAAGGAAATTGGAATATCAGATCAAATCTTAAATTGGGTCAAAAACTACTTAGTAAATAGAAGACAAAGGGTGGTTCTTGATGGTTATATATCAACTCTTAGGCCAACTAGTGCAGGTGTCCCCCAAGGATCTGTCCTAGGTCCTTTCTTATTTTTATTATATATAAATGATATTTCTTCAAATTTAACAAATAATGTCCGCTTATTTGCTGATGATACTTTACTTTACATTATTGTTGACAATGACATTGTCAGTGCTGCAAACTCATTAACAACTGATTTAGAAAAGTTGGATCAGTGGTCAAAACAATGGAAAGTTGATTTTAACCCCAAGAAAACAGTGAATGTAAATTTTTCCAGAAAACATTTTTCTCATCCCAATGTTAAATTTGGATTAAATGGCCCATTGATTGAACCATCGAACAATCACACACATTTGGGACTAAATTTTCAGTGTGATGCCAATTGGAAATCTCACATTCATACATATTACTTATGAAAAAGCATGTAAACGATTAAATGTTCTACGAATGTTAAAATATTCCCTTTGTCGAGATGCGCTAATAAAAATATATATGTCATTTATTAAACCAGTTTTAGAATATGGTGATGTTGTCTAGGATAATTGTAATGAAAAGGAGTCATCTTTATTGGAAGAAGTTCAAATTACTGCTGCAAGAATTATTACAGGAATGAGAGTGAACTCATCAAGATCACTTTTATATGATGAATTGGGTTGGAATACATTATCTGACAGAAGGAAAGTACATAAATTAATATTATTTTACAAAATCGTGTATGGGTTAGCACCACAGTACCTTCAAGATCTTCTAAGACCTTGTATTCCACTCCAAACATATTCACTAAGAAACAATGATGGTCTTACTTTTCTTATTTCTCAGACGAGGACCACATCATATATAAATAGTTATTTCCCATCTACAATTAAATTATGGAATAGTTTACCATACCATATTAGGAGTTTACCAACACTATCTTCTTTCATTAATGCCATTAAAAAGACTCGTTATAGAACACCCAATAAGCTTTTTAATCATGGAAATCGTAGTCAAAATATTATTCATTGTCAGCTAAGAAATAATGCTAGTAGTTTGAATGGTGATTTACTGAAAGATTATATAAGTGATAGCTCAAAATGTGAAAACTGTAATTTTCATACAGAAAATGCATATCATTTTTAGCTCACCTGAGCCGAAGGCTCAAGTGAGCTTTTCTGATCAAAATTTGTCCGTCGTCTGTCGTTGGCGTTGTCGTTGTCGTAAACTTTTCACATTTTCATCTTCTTCTCAAGAACCACTGGGCCAATTTCAACCAAACTTGGCACAAAGTATCCTTGGGTGAAGGGGATTCAAGATTGTTCAAATGAAGGGCCACGCCCTCTTCCAAGGGGAGATAATCATGAATTAGTGAAAAATTAATAGCATTTTTAAAAAATCTTCTTCTCAAGAACCACTGGGCCAGGAAAGATGAAACTCATGTGGAATTATCCTCAGGTAGTGTAGATTCAAATTTGTTCAAATCATGACCCCTGGGGCTAGGGTGGGGCCAAAATGGCCGACCAAAGTTTTACAAAGGAATATATAGGAAAAATCTTTAAAAATCTTCTTCTTAAGAACCACTGGGCCAGGAAAGATGAAACTCATGTGGAATCATCCTCAGGTAGTGTAGATTCAAGTTTGTTCAAATCATGACCCCTGGGGCTAGGGTGGGGCCAAAATGGCCGACCAAAGTTTTACATAGGAATATGTAGGAAAAATCTTTTAAAAATCTTCTTCTCAAGAACCACTGGAATTGGAAAAATGAAACTCATGTGGAATCATCCTCAGGTAGTGTAGAAGTTTGTTCAAATCATGACCCCAGGGGCTAGGGTGGGGCCAAAAAAAAGTTACATAGAAATGCATAGAACAAATCTTTTAAAATCTTCATCTTCTCAAGAACCACTTTGCCAGGAAAGATGAAACTCATGTGGAATCATCCTCGGGTAGTGTGGATTCAAGTTTGTTCAAATCATGACCCACGGGGCTAGGGTGGGGCCAAAATGGCCAACCAAAGTTTTACATAGGAATATATAGGAAAAATCTTTTAAAATCTTCTTCTTAAGAATCACTGAGAAAGGAAATATGAAACTTAAATGAAATTATCCTCAGGTAGTGTGGATTCAAGTTTGTTCAAATCATGACCCCCGGGGCTAGGGTGGGGCCAAAATGGCCGACCCAAGTTTTACATTGGAAGATATAGAAAAAATCTTTAAAAATCTTCTTCTTAAGAATCAATATGAGGAAAGGAAATATGAAATTATCCTCAGGTAGTGTAGATTCAAGTTTGTTTAAATCATGACCCCTGGGGCTAGGATAGAGCCAAAATGGCTGACCAAAGTTTTACATAGGAATATATAGGAAAAACTTTAAAAATCTTCTTCTCAAGAACCTTTGGGCCAGGAAAGACGAAATTTATGTGGAATCATCCTCAGTTAGTGAAAATTCAAGCTTGTTCAAATTATGACCTCTGGGGCTAGTTTTGGGCCCAAAATGGCTGACCAAAGTTGTACATAAGGATATATAGGGAAACCTTTTAAAATCTTCTTTTCAAGTACTTTAAAGCCATGCTTAGTAATATATAGGGAATCATCCTCTGGTAGTGTAGATTGTACATTGTTCAAATCATGACACCCAGGAGGGTTAAAATTCAAGCCCCCCCCCCCAGTAAACTTTCAGTTTTGATCTAATATGTGCTTTTTCCTAGTCCTAGTAGATGTGCTCAGGTGAGCGATGTGGCCCTTGGACCTCTTGTTTCTTTGAATGCCCATGTTATGTTGAGCAAAGAAACACTCTTTTTAATTGTATATCTAGTATAGACCTGCAAAATCCTATTCCTATTTCCCTTAATCTTTTATTATTTGGTGATAGTAATATTTCATATGCAAATAATATGAAATTATTTGATTGTGTTCACAAATATATATCACAAACCAAAAGGTTTCATAAATGAAGTGTAACTATGAAATATTTATTCCAGTTTATGTCCTAAATTAAATACACATTTATTGTATGTTTATAAATTGCTGTAGTTCTCATTTTTTTTCCTTCCATTTCCACATTTACAAACCGGTATTCATTTGTTGTTGTGTTTTTTTTTTTGTTTTGTTTTGTTTTGATTTTTTTTCTTTTTCTCTTTTCACTCATGTATTTTTCTTTCCCCTTTAATCCATTCAAATTTGTGTCAGTTATATATAACTTATTGGTCATATATAAACCTGTTACTATATATGTATTAATTAACCTTGTACCTATGGAGAGGGCTTATATAGGCTATGCCTGCTGCCCAATCCATTTATGTATTTTACATAATAAAATATGTTCAAATCAAATTCAAAAAGAGAAGACGGGTAGAGGTCATGCTCCTTCAATCAATGTTATCGAGAAACGCGGCGTTAAGGAGACAATTAATACCGTAAGAAATACCAGTGCAGAGGTAAATCTAGTTTACAATGGATGATTTATTGTATTTGTTAGGTATAAATCCCTCGCAAGATTATTTTCCTTCTAATGAATGTCACTGGATATGAACGATAGATGAAATGTAGACCTTTACTTTGCAATTGTGTTAGGCTGCTATATGGCACAAACACCTGCTTTGACACGGGTCCCGGACTTGAACAGGTTTTATCCAAAAGACTTGCGACTGTAATTTAAGACCTAGTCGAAAGAACAGTTTCTAGCAATTTTTTGTTGAATGAACTTTTTTGCAGCCTGGTTGCTAAGGCAGCCACAACCTTCCGATCACCAAGCACTGGCGCTGTACTAAGCTACAATAGGGTGGTGAATCTGATTAAGAGAAGTTGAACTCCATTTGACATATAAGCCGAGGAGGACAACCTTGATACCGGTAAATAGTGTAATTAAGTGGGAGAGCTTAATTCTTGTTTATTTCAATAACAGCATTGTTAAGATTACAGTTTTATTAAGTGTTCTATGTGCTGTTAAACAGAGACCAAACTTCAGAACTGTTTGTAACTAAGTGTGGTATAATGTATAAATTACAACGTGTTCTGATTTCGCAACATGCACATTTAAACATAAAACCGAGTAAAATGAATGTCAAATCATTTCCATTGTTTTGACAACTGCAGATTGGAAATTATAAAAGTTGATAACATACACATACCACAACAAGACTGGTAATACTCGATATGTTATTGGCAAACTTTGCAAATGTATATGTGTCACAAGTTTAAATCCTTAGAGCTAAAAACTCAAGTGACCTTTTTGATAATCTGTTTTCCGCGTACGTCTGTCTACACTAACCCTAATCCTTTAAATCTTACCCCGCCCAAACTCTTGAACGAACGCTTACCCTAACTCTAAGTCACAT